GCACACGGTGGCTTAGTGGTTAGCACGTTCGCCTCACACCTCCAGGGTCCGGGGTTCAATTCCCCCCGGTTTTTGCAGTTTGCGTGTTCTCCCCGTGCTGTGGTGGTTTCCTCCGGGTTCTCTGGTTTCCTCCCCCAGTCCAAAGACTGATGGTAGTCTGATTGGCGTGTCTAAAGTGTCCGTAGTGTATGAATGGGTGTGTGAGTGTGTATGTGTCCAGGGTGTACCCCGCCTCCAGGTTCCCCGTGACCCTGAAGAATGGATGGATGTTAATATTAATTTGGAGATGTTGATGTTAAAGTTTTTATATGTTCAGAATGTGAAAAGTGAAAAGATGTAATTCCTGTTTGTAGTTGGGGTTTCATGCTTTAGTTTTTGAGTTATATTATAATTAGCTACATTAGTGTCTGTATTAACCCTTATATATATATATATATATGTGTGTGTGTGTGTGTGTGTGTGTGTAGGTAACCTGATACAGCTGGGTTACCTGAACGTGAAGGTGTTGGAGCAGGAGGCCGGTCACTTTGTGAGAGATCTGACGGACATGATGTCCTACTGCCAGAGATACGTCTCTCAGAAAAAGTCCAACCTCACACACTGGCACCCGGTGCTGGGCTGGTTCTCCCAGACTGTCGACTACGGGTACTCGCGCACACACACACACACACACACACACACACACACACACACACACACACACACACACACACACTCCTACACGCTCCCATTCTGTAATTAACTGTCATGCTACAAAACCAAAACACCAGGACCAGGTCTGTCTGAAACCTCATAATACACTCGTTATTATCCATCCATCCATCTTCAACCGCTTATCCGTAATCGGGTCACGGACACTCGTTATTATATTAAGTTTAAACTGTATAAACAGTTTTACACTAGTAATGTTTACATAGTAGCTCACAGTCTTACACTCTTTCAGTATGGCCCAAAACATCAAAACACTAGGACGTTTATATGATCTATATCATAGTGAGATCAGCGTTAGTGTGGAGTGTTTGTTTATTTATTAGGAGTGTTTATTTATTTATTTGGAGTGTTTATTTATTTGGAGTGTTTATTTATTTATTTGGAGTGTTTATTTATTTGGAGTGTTTATTTATTTGGAGAGTTTATTTATTTGGAGTGTTTATTTATTTGGAGTGTTTATTTATTTATTTGGAGTGTTTATTTATTTGGAGTGTTTATTTATTTGGAGAGTTTATTTATTTGGAGTGTTTGTTTGAAACCGTTTATGTTCTATTTTGAATAAACTCAGGCTGAACGAGTCGATGCCGCTGGTGACGAGGCAGCTGCAGTGTCTTTGGGGCGTTCCGGTCATCTGCACGCTCTTCTGTGACGTCCTCAGCAAAAAACTGGAGGGGCAAGAGCCCGCCCCTCTTCCTCCTCCTCAGCCAACCGCAGCTCAGAACAACCTGCCCGTCAAAAGTGCGCGCCAACTTCCACCTTTCTACACAAATACTTCTCTTAATGTTGTGTTTGAAGTGGAGTGAAGTGGAGAGCGCTTTGCTGGAGCAGGATACTGTTATTAGTGCTTTCATAGATAAATGGTGAGGTTTTATTTTCCCTTTTGTTCCCTTCAGATCTGTTTAAGCGAGCGTTCCAGAAGTCGGCGTCGGTCCGGAACATTCTGAAGCCGGTCGGGGGGAAGAGAGTGGACTCGGCCGAGGTGCAGAAAGTGTGCAGTGTGTGTGTGCTGTATCAGACGGCCCTCACCACGCTCACACAGATCCGCCTGCAGATCCTCACAGGTCACCTCACTCACACACACACACACACACCACCTAAATTATTGTAGTCTGACTTCTTCAAATAAGCACCGATGATATTAGTGAGTCCCAAACGCCCCTGTAACATCACGTCTCGTACACACACAGGTCTGACGTATCTGGACGAGCTGCTGCCGAAGCTGTGGGCGTTTATCTGTGAGCTCGGACCTCAGGGAGGACTCAAGCTCTTCCTCGAGTGTCTCAACAACGACACGGACGAGTCCAAGCAGCTGCTGGCCATGCTCATGCTCTTCTGTGACTGCTCGCGACACCTAATAACGTCTGGGACTTTCTTTTTTACATACATACCAGTGTTAAAGCTGTGTTTTTATTCTACTCCAGTGTCTGTGCCTGATGTGTGTGTGTGTGTGTGTGTGTGTGTGATGGATGTTGTGTCTGATGAACAGGATCCTGGATGATATCGAGGTTTACGAGGAGCAGATTTCCTTTAAGATGGAGGAGCTCATCACCATCTCGTCGTTCCTAAACACGTTTGTGTATAAAATGATCTGGGATGGAATTCTGGGTGAGCTCCCCTACTCCTCTTCCGTTTCGTTTACAGGACAGTTCAGGACCGTGTGTGTGTGTGTGCACAGGAATGAATGTTGTGTGTGATGTGTTTGTAGAGAATGCGAAAGGGGAGAAGCTGGACCTGTTCCACAGCGTGCACGGCTGGCTGATGGTGCTGTACGAGAGAGACTGTCGCAGGAGATTCACGCCTGATGAACACTGGCTACGCAAGTGAGTCTCGCTGCTGGGATCTAGCACTGGGTTTTATATCTGAAACCATATATATATGTATATAACACACCGTTGTGCTCAGATAAGAAAGACGCAAGTAAAGAAATGAAAAACTCTCTTTGGTATAAGTGATGGAGTGTGTGAGAGTTCCAAGCTTTTTATGGCTAGCTCTCAAACGTCAGACTTCCATATCAGGGAGTAAGTCTGAACAGTTCCATATCTACAGCACTCTCCTTTATTTTATACACTAATAGACAGGTTTGAACTCAGACCATCAGTGTTCAAGACCTTTAAAGTGCTTGATAACCATTTTGTGAATGTGTGTGTGTGTGTGTGTCAGGGACCTGAAGCCTAGTCTGCTGTTCCAAGAGCTGGACAAAGGCAAGAAGAGAACTCAGCTGCTGCTGCAGTACATCCCTCACGTCATTCCACACAAAAACGTCAGTTCCACCATAATCACCCCGTACCCAGTTCACTACAGGGATTTACTTTCACTTTCTGTCCTCTATAGAGCTGAAGTGTTACTCGTGTCTGTCCTCTATAGAGCTGAAGTGTCACTCTTACTGTCCACTATAGAGCTGAAGTGTCACTCGTGTCTGTCCTCTATAGAGCTGAAGTGTCACTCTTACTGTCCACTATAGAGCTGAAGTGTCACTCTTACTGTCCACTATAGAGCTGAAGTGTCACTCTTACTGTCCTCTATAGAGCTGAAGTGTCACTCGTGTCTGTCCTCTATAGAGCTGAAGTGTCACTCTTACTGTCCACTATAGAGCTGAAGTGTCACTCTTACTGTCCACTATAGAGCTGAAGTGTCACTCTTACTGTCCTCTATAGAGCTGAAGTGTCACTCGTGTCTGTCCTCTATAGAGCTGAAGTGTCACTCTTACTGTCCACTATAGAGCTGAAGTGTTACTCGTGTCTGTCCTCTATAGAGCTGAAGTGTCACTCTTACTGTCCACTATAGAGCTGAAGTGTTACTCGTGTCTGTCCTCTATAGAGCTGAAGTGTCACTCGTGTCTGTCCTCTATAGAGCTGAAGTGTCACTCGTGTCTGTCCACTATAGAGCTGAAGTGTCACCCTTACTGTCCACTATAGAGCTGAAGTGTCACTCTTACTGTCCACTATAGAGCTGAAGTGTTACTCGTGTCTGTCCTCTATAGAGCTGAAGTGTCACTCTTACTGTCCACTATAGAGCTGAAGTGTCACTCGTGTCTGTCCACTATAGAGCTGAAGTGTTACTCGTGTCTGTCCTCTATAGAGCTGAAGTGTCACTCTTACTGTCCACTATAGAGCTGAAGTGTCACTCGTGTCTGTCCACTATAGAGCTGAAGTGTTACTCGTGTCTGTCCTCTATAGAGCTGAAGTGTCACTCTTACTGTCCACTATAGAGCTGAAGTGTCACTCGTGTCTGTCCACTATAGAGCTGAAGTGTCACTCGTGTCTGTCCACTATAGAGCTGAAGCGTTACTCGTGTCTGTCCTCTATAGAGCTGAAGTGTCACTCTTACTGTCCACTATAGAGCTGAAGTGTTACTCGTGTCTGTCCTCTATAGAGCTGAAGTGTCACTCTTACTGTCCACTATAGAGCTGAAGTGTCACTCGTGTCTGTCCACTATAGAGCTGAAGCGTTACTCGTGTCTGTCCTCTATAGAGCTGAAGTGTCACTCGTGTCTGTCCTCTATAGAGCTGAAGTGTCACTCGTGTCTGTCCTCTATAGAGCTGAAGTGTCACTCGTTTCTGTCCTCTATAGAGCTGAAGTGTCACTCGTGTCTGTCCTCTATAGAGCTGAAGTGTCACTCGTGTCTGTCCTCTATAGAGCTGAAGTGTCACTCGTGTCTGTCCTCTATAGAGCTGAAGCGTTACTCGTGTCTGTCCTGCGCTTATGCAGTACTGTATTCATTTATTCGGTTCTTTTCATTACAACGTCTCGCATTTTATCCACTCAGAGGGTTCTGTTGTTCCGGAACATTGTGACGAAGGAAAAGGAGACGCTGGGATTGGTCGAGACAAGCTCCGCCTCCCCACATGTGACGCACATAACTATTCGACGCTCTCGCATGCTCGAGGTGCGTGTGTCCAACACAACGTCCGGTTACTTCTATTGATCAAACTCTCCATAAAATTTGCAGCATACAACATTACTTCTACATATATTTCCATTTCTTTCCATCTGTATTACTCTCCCTCTGTCTCTCTTTCCCTCTGTCTCTCTCTCTCTCTCTTTCTCTCTCCCTCCCCAGGACGGGTATGACCAGTTGCGTAGGCTGCCCGTGAACTCCATTAAAGGTGTGATCCGTGTGAAGTTTGTGAATGACCTGGGGGTGGACGAGGCTGGGATTGATCAGGACGGAGTGTTTAAGGAGTTTCTGGAGGAGATCATTAAGAAGGTCTTCAACCCTGCGCTCAACCTGTTCAAGGTGCTCAGCAATATTTCTCTCTTCGTCTAGCACTGCACAGTCAAATCACCAAAAATGATTTCTTTTTAAATTGATGCCCAAGCTGTGTTAGAGAATCTCCTTCTACAGGCTGGTAAATACACTGGTTCCA